TCAGGCTTTTGAGAAATCTCAGGCTTGCAGGGAAGCCTCTAGGTTGCCCAGAGGTTGGGAAGCAGGGGATTTTTTCATAAGTGATCTAGGTTCCCATCTGTATTTGTGTGGCCAAGCAGAGAGAAAAATCTTCCTCTTGCTTGTAGAAGAATGGAGAAAACTCGAGCAAGCCCAAATGCATAGGATTTCCATGGCCCTGTGCAAATGAGAAGGAAGTACTCTTAGCAGAAAAGACAAAGCAGAGGATGCTACACATAAACAGTATTCATGGTATTGAACCTGAAATACGCCCTGTTGATTCTGGGATGGACTTTTAACAAAGCTTTGTTCTTGACCTTCAAAGGTCTTGTTGCCTGTTTGGACAGTTGACTTTCTGCTCAATGAGCTTTTCTATAAGAAGAAATGAAACACTTTTCCCTTTTTAAATTATTCACATAGATGCTCTGCCATTTCAAGCTCAATCTGCTTGTGTAAGGAGTGTGTAATCCTCTTTTTTTTGTTTCCACGGACTTGTGCTTTTAAAGTAATTTCAGAATTAAATATGTTATGGAGTAATTCTAGGGCTCTGTGGGAAAGTGCATTAGATCATCAAGCCCACTTCCATGCTGAGTTTGTCCCTACAGGGAAGATATACAAGATAAACTTATTTTACACTGGATGATAGTGAAAAGGCCAAGAAACTATTTTTCTCCTAGTTAACCTACAAAAAGCACTTTCATATCAAAGGCACTAACATGCAAGCACAGATTTCCATAATAATGTGAGAAAAAGAAAGGAAAAAGTAAGACAGTTTTTACTCTTTGTACTTAAGAAGGATTGCATTAATCCCTTTTGTATATTCCAGCAGCTACAAACTGAAATGAAAACTATATCCAGAGGCAGATAACATCCTTCTTCTCATAGGCAGAGAATAGTAAGCTACATTTCTGGAGGATTGTTCTTTTTCCTAACTGGAACATCTATTCAGTCCCAGCCAGGTAAGGCTGCTGTTTAAGGCCAGTTCCCCAGGGTTCAGCTGATCTCTGCGGCAAAACCACTGAAGGACTTAGCAACAGTGACACAGACAGCCTGGCCTCCTCCCTTGGCTCCTGATTTCTGCTCCTTTGTCAGAGAGGAATATTCAGATTTGCAGGGCAGCCCAGCCTTGTGGTGCCACTTGCGGCCATGGCAAAGCAGGGGCCTCCTGTGCAGGAAGAATCACAAAGGCAAAACAACTTGAATTTCTCTGGAGCTTTCCTAGAAATGTCACCTGGGATCATAAAGAGGTCGAATTATAAACTAGCACTCCATGCAGAAAGGTGCAAGAAGCAGAGTGCAGATGTAAAAACCATGAGAAAGAAGGTTGGTGGAGGCAGAGGAAAAACCCATCTTTCAAATGAATTGAAGCAATCTAGATAATTCCCTGCAAGTACTACTGGATTTTTCCTTAACCCCTTGAAAGTTCGGTTCAAGGTAAAAGAAGTCCCTGGGTAGGTTTTCCTCTCTCTGAAGATTCTGTCTCAGTTAAGAGCTCAGTCTGAGCAGCTCCAGTTGTGAGTTTCTTAAGTTTCTAGTGTTTCCCTGTGTTGACCCTGTCAGGCCCATTGCAGTTGCCATACCAAGAGAACAGAAACAGTAAAGGCAAAAAATTCCCAACCAAGTTTTCTGAAACATACCATATTGTGAAGAGGCATCAAGCACCTCCTTTCTGTGCTAACAAGTTATTAAAAAAAGAAAGTACTCTGGTGGGAGCAGATAAAAATGACACTTTTTAACTCTCCCGCTTGTTACCACAGAGATTCCTGCATTTAAGGGGGACATCTGTTACAAAGGATGAAAAAAATATTTTGCTGCAAGCAAAGAACAGTCTGGGAACAAAACTATGTCTCAAAATCTAAACCCAAACTTTATTTAAATTGTACCTCAGCAAAAAATAACAGCCAGTATTAGTAAAACAAATTATATTCCAATTGAAAATAGTTAGATCAGAACAAGTCCAACAAGGGAAGTGAAAATGCAGCATTTACAGCTGATAGAACAGGTTTAAGCTGCTTGAAGGAAGCAGGGAAATGATCAGCCAGCTTGAGAGTATGATTTCCTTTGCAAATAATTTCTGGGCTGAGATGTGACCAGTGCTTTGTGTTCTGCCAAAGGCAGTAGCCAGAGGCAGCAGAAAAAATTTTAACAACTAGCCAGGAGCAGAATAAAAAAAAAATTAACAAGTAAGCTAATTAGCAGATGCTATCAAGACAGAGTGAGAAGATGTGATTAAAGACATCTTTAAGCCATTTCCAGGCCTCTCCCTTCTGGAGTAGTGATGAGGAATGCATGGGTGGTTTCATTACGTCCTCACCATGGGCAGCCAACTCCCAGTCAAAACTGACTTCAACCCCTCATGTTTTCCAGGAGACTGAGCAGACGAGGATGTTCTTTTTTTCTCCCATCCTCACCTCATGCCCACTCTACAAAGGAACAGAGGGGCTCAGGAAGGCTGTCACACGGCCGATGTGCTAATACTTAGATTTTGAGAGAAGCTGCTTGTGTAGGATGTACTTTACCTTCTGCCTCTTGCAGATTAGATTCTCTTTGTCTCACTAACAATTTCTGTTAGCTCATGCTGAGCATTCAATGAAACTCTAAAAAGTTGCGTACGTCCCATAGTAGAAGCACAGGTGGAAAAATATGACAATGGCAGAGTCCTACAGCACACTCAGGGCAAAATTTGAAATAGAGCTGAGCTTACCCAGCTGCCAGCCTTGTCCTCTGACTGCAGAGGCTTCAGCCCCAAAATTACATAGGAGTGTTTTGAATGAGAGGCAATGCCTGACCCTTGGAGGGAAACCCAAAATGGGGCTCAGAAAGAAGAGTGTTCCATGCAAGGAGAGTTAACCTAGAGGGCAGTCGGGTTCTGTCAGACAGATCAGTTTGGTTTAATGCGTTTAAGCTTGCTGTCACAACAAAGCCCAAAGCCTTTATCCTAGTCCACAGTTTATAAGATGATGAACAATCCTTCTCTGGGAACCGGTAAATATGGTATTTCCCAGTTTCAAGAACTGAGCATTTTATAATGCTGTAGACAGAAGGTAGTATCTATTATTCATGTGTCATTCTATATGTGAGCATCCCATGCAAACATATCCAAACTCCATCTTTATTATATGCTGGCATTGAGAATGGAAATAAAAATTCTACTTGGTCAAACTTATTCAAATGCAAGAGATAGTAACTAACTAACATTTTCATGTTAGAAACACATGATCGCGCAGAATTTTGCTGCTGTTGGTACAAATAGTTAGGAGACTTTCTAACCATACTGTACACATGTATTTGGCTTTCAAAAATAACAGTAATTAAAAATAATTCAATAATAAATGTAACATGTTCTGTAGCTGATGAGCTAGTGTTGCAGGGAAAGTTTAATTTTCCTGTTTTTTTCTATTTTGTGTGAATTAAATTCTCATCATTAACTATATTAGATTAACATTTTGGGGTGTGTCCTTTTTATAAGAAAAAAGAGAGGAAACAGTGCTGGCACAATGATGGCTATTCTGAGGTAAAACACACGCAGAACAAATTGACAAAGGTAAGGACTGCAGATTAGCAGAGGAAAGTGTGCTTCTGGTGATAATCAAGTGTATTTATTTAATAACAATACTTGCCACTATTACAACAAAGATCTGAAGTTTTGAAGTGCTCATTTCCTCCCTGTACTGTTTGCCACTTTAGAAGGTGTGGATAGTGTTGAGAACAAAGAAGATAAGAGTGATCACAGAGATTAAAGGAGAACTTCTCAGGCAGGGAACCCAGTTGCGGTGAGTGGGACCAGTAGATGAGCAGGACACCATGGGAAGGAGCTCTGGGAGGACATGATGGGCAGCAGCATTGGTAGGACTTTCATGGTGAGATTACAGGCAGAGGCTCACCAACTCGCTTAACAGGTTAATTTGTTGACACATTGCCCAAGGTGTTGCATAGGTGATCTTTTTGGTGAGATATCAAGGTGGTTTTCCATCAGCTTGCCAGAATACTCAAGAAAGGGCACTCTGGAGGTTCAACTTTGAGAAGAAGGGTTTGGCCTACACAGAAAAGAGACTTCTGAAGCACATCCAGTGAATCAGAACCTTGGTACACCTATAAAGCTCACTCATGATTCTCTGACCTCTAAGCTACTATGTAACCAAGCACTACAACAGTCATAGCGCACTTTCTTTCTTCTGAAGCAATTCTTCCTACCTAGAGGTCTGAGAAAGAGGAATTTGATGCACAGGGAAGCTTTGGAGAGAACCAAAGTGCAGGACTTCCGGCATGTGCTGAGGCACTTGTGCTTCTTGAAGAATTTGACACACATTTTGCCTCCCACCCCCAGCTTTCTCCTGGGGAGACCTGAAGGCATCCAGAGATGGCAGCAACTTAGCACCCACCTTCAGCCTGGACAAGAGAAGACTGAGGGAAAACCACATCACAGTCTACAACTTCCTCGTGAGGAAGGGCAGGCACTGAACGCTTTTCTCTGGTGACCAGTGACAGGACTTCAGGGTATGGTGCGAGGCTGAGTCAGGGGAGGTTTAGGTTGGATATCAGGAAAAGGTTCTTCACTTAGAGGGTAGTTGGGCACTGGAACAGACTCCCCAGCACCAAGCCTGACAGAGTCCAAGAAGCACTTGGACAATGCTCTCAGGCACATGGTGTGATTCCTGGGGTTGTTCCATGCAGGGCCAGGAGCTGGACTTTGATGATCCCCGTGGGGTCCCTTCCAGCCCGGGATATTCCGTGATTCCACACACACCCTTCCCACACATACCCCCCGCTCCAGCCCTGAGCCAGCAGGGTGGTCTCCCTGAAGCGACCCCCACAAGCCCCCCCAGCGGACCCTTTCCCCTCAGCAGCCCCTCCTCCGGGCGGGGGCACACAGGGGGACCCGCGCCCCTTCCCCGCCCCCCCCCTCCCCGCGGGGGGCCGGAGCCCCCGCGGTCACGTGGCCGCGCGGTGATATCCCGCCCCATCCCGCCCCATCCCGCCCCCGAGTGTCCCGGGGCGCCGCCGCTCCGCCCTTCGGCAGCGCCCGGATCGCTCCGTGCGCGACTCCCGGGACACTCGCGCGGGCGTAGCGGGACGTGGCTGCTCCATGAGGTGAGAGCGCGGCTCGGCGGGAGGCGGCGGCGGGAAGAGGAGGAGGGAGAGGGGGGAGGAGGAGGAGGAGGAGGAGGAGGAGGAGGGTCCGTGCGCGCTCGGCGGCGGCGGGCGCTGTGAATGGGGCTTTGTGTGCGGCGCCCACCTGCTCCCGCCTCCGCCGCCCGGCGCGGGGGCTCCGCGGCCGCCGGGCGCTTCCCCCGGAGGAGCCTGAGCGGGGGAACCCCCCGCGGGGTGCAACAGGAGGGAACTTTTCCCTTCTCCCTGCCGGAGAGCCCCGTTTGGCCGGTGTGGGGGGAGCGGAGAGCAGCGCGGGGACGCAGCCCGTGAGTCACCGGCGCTTGGCTGTTTCTTTTTATGTACTTCGTGGTTTTATGTTTTGTCTGGTTTTTTTTCCTTTTCTCTCAAGATGCGTGGCGGGCAGTGACAGCTGCCCTCGAGGCTGAGCGGTGGCACCGGCGGTCCCCTGCCCCGCACCCCCACCCGCCTCTCGGGGGTCTCCGCGGGTCCCTGAGCCCCGGGCGGAGCCGCCCCCGCCGCCCAGGGACGGGGGTCCCAGGTCCCTGACAGCTGGGTCCGGCCGAGCCCCGGCGGTGCCGCTCCCGGGGCGCCCTCATGGGATTAAATCCTCTCCTGGGGGGACCCTCAAATTCCTCGGTCCGGTCGGAAAGGGTGTCTCGGTGGTCTCTCCAGGGGCTTGGGGGGAGCCCGGGGAAGGGCTCCCCGCGCCCCGCTGCCACTCCCGGCTCCTCGCACCCCACGGGCACACGGAGGGGCTGCGCCTTCCCTTGGCAGCGCGGGCTTAAAGGGCACGAGAAAGATTTTTCTCTTGCACAGCGTTTGGCAACACAAGCCATCTACAGTCTGCTGTTGCCACTTGTGACATTCTTGACTTTATCCATATGAAGAGAGTCGTTAAATTCTACCTTAACAGCGTTTCAGGATCTCTGACAAATTTTGCTGTTTGTTTCTATAGTGAATATGAATGTGCTTATTACAAAACTGATAAAAAACGCTTCCACTCTAGTGCTACTTTGATAGAAACTGTAGTCTCTTCTTTCCTTTTTTTCCCTTCTTGGTATTGAAGATTAGTGTGCCTTATCTAAAAAAAAAAGAAAATCAGACACTAAAAACTACATATACACCATCTTAGAAAGGTCTTGTGCTGTCTGGGATTAACTAGGTGTAGCTGAATTTAGTAAATATCTGTCAATGACCTGCTTGGCTCTTGTCTTGGACCACTCATGCAAAGCTGTCAGTGAGATTTTATTTACTAATAGAAGAATCGCATAACTGCCATATGAACCAAAGTGAAAGACCATGTGAGTAGGACGATGCTTGGTATGATCTCAGGGTTCTCGAGTTGGAGCCAAACTCAGTGCCAAGAAGTCACTATGCAGTAGCAGACATCCATCCTTCCAATCTCTAAAAATATTGGCCCTCTGCTATTCTCTTCCCTCTTCCATGAGTGCATCCGCTAGCAAAGCAATAAAATGCTGCCTCCTCCCCTCTGCTTCCCTGAACCAAGAGATAGATAATATCAAGTGGAGAGAAGACTAGGCGGGAGGCTGCTCATCTCATGAAGCGATGTGAGCATTTCACAAGAGGGTACTCTGACTTGCCTCATCTCTTTCTTTCTTTTTTTTTTCTCTTTGTTTGTGCACTTTTTCTTCTCCCCTTCTCCACTGAGGACTTTGTGTCTTTTTTTGAGGGAGAAGCTGTGATTGGAGAAACATAAAAGCTAGTTCTTGTGTAAGATGTTGGTAATTTCTAAATCCTGCTGCAACAATACCCTAATCACATTCCTTTTGGGAGCTGATTGTGGGCTAGTTCTTTTTGCACAGGGGTAATGCTTGGAATAACTACAGAGAAAAAAACAAGGAAAACTAGAACAAATAAATTCAGAGCTCTGGTGTCTTGCTTAATGGCAGACATAGTAGACTACTGAAAATTCCAAGGTGGAAGCATAGCAATCCATATAATTTTCTGGGGTTATAGGTTTGAGCGGTTGGCTCTCCTGCTGTGTATATACTTCTTGCATGTCTGAGAAGCCTGTTCACTTGCCAGCATATTTTGGAATTGCTTTCTAGGTGCGTGTGAATGTATGAAGGTGAAAGCTCTGCATTTGAGGTAGCTTGGGCCTTGTTTTCAGAGTTGTCAATCCTGACTGTCATTTGGAGTCTCATTTGGAGAGTCATCTAATCATGCTCTTTCAGGATACAGAGGAAGTAGTGCAAATAACTGCAATTCAGGTAATATGTTAGAACAGAGCTTGTCACAGTCAAACTCTCAGAGACATAAGGAAGTCCGGTGAATTGTAGGAGCAACTAAAGCTCCCCTCTGGCACTTACGACTAGCCACCAGCCCAGGTACTTGCCAAGGACTGCTGGAGTGGAAGGACACAGCAATGAAAGAAAGCATCCTTCCCTTATGTTGAGGTCCAGGACAGGGTGGCTGGTAATGCCTGGAGGTGATGGTGGTAGTCAGTGTGCTGAACTTGAGGTGATCACCTCTGAAGGAGAGAGACTCGTGGTTAGTGTATCTTCCTGGGAAGTTTTATGTCTTGACTCAAGTCTTTCCTCTGCAGGCAGATCTTGCATTTAAGATGAATGCTGTAATAACTTGCATATATTTTCTAAAGCTGTCATAGCCTTCCCTTGGTTTTGTGCCTGGAAGCCATTGCTAGTACTCAAAATACTGTAAACCAAGATTTGGTTTTTTTGGTTGGTTGGTTTTTCTATATATAGGGGGAATGAGTAAAGTGGAGGAAGAGCCAAGTTTGTTCAATCATTATAATAGAAAAAAGAATTAGTATGCTGGTCTGCTTGTGACTCTGTAACTTCAGTAGTTAAGGATGTTCCATTTCTTTACTCATAATTGCTGAGAGGCAGGGAACTACAGCTGGTTATTGCAGATGTCTGACTTCCCAAAGGCGGTTTGGAACACCCTGAAACACCTCTTTGGAGTTTTGACACTCAAGTGCTTCCTGAGGACCTTTTTTACAATGACTTACCTGAGACACCGGCACGATAACTCAAAGGGAGATCTGAAGATTCATAAGTCTGTGAAGGCTGAGAGAAGTATCTTAAACACTACATCTTCTTCTCCAATATTTGTGCAGCATCTAGTGCTGCTGCTATTGAATATGTTTCTAGAACCCGAAGAAAATGAGATAAAAATCACTTGATTATCATTAAAATCACAGAATAGCTGAGGTTGGAAGAGACCTCTGGAGATCACCTAGTCCAGCCACCCTGCTAAAGCAGAGTCACCTAGAGCAGGTTGCACAGGATCATGACCAGACAGATTTTTAATATCTCCAGAAAAGGAGATCCAAAGCCTCTTTGGGCAGCCAGTGCTCTGTCACCTTCAAAGTAAAGAAGGTCTTCCTCATATTCAGATGGAACTTCCTGTGTTTCATTATGTGCTTGTTACCCTTTGTCCTTCACTGGATACCTCTGAAAAGAGTCTGGCCCCATCTTCTTGGTGCCCATCCTTAAGATATTTATAAGCATGGATAAGATCTCCTCTCACTTGTCTCTTCTCAGGCTAAACAGGCTGAACTCTCTCAGCCTCTCCTCTGAAAAGAGATGTTCCAGCCCCTTACACGTCTGTAGCCTTTTGTTGGACCCTCTCCAGTAGTTCCTTGTCTTTTTTGAACTAGGGAGCCCAGAACTGGACACAGCACTCCAGATATGGCCTGAGCAGAGGAGGAGGATAACCTCCTTCAGTGTACTGGCCACGCTGTTCCTAATGCACTCCAGGATACCATTGGACTTCTTGGCCACAAGAACACACTGCTGGCTCATTGTTAACTTGTCTGCCAGGACTCCCAGGTCCTTCTCAGCCAAGCTGCTTTTCAGCAGGCAAACCCTTAACCTGTACTGGTCTATGAAGTTATTCCTCATAAGCTGCAGGACCCCACACTTGCCTCTGTAGAACTTCACGAGGTTCCTTTCTGCCCCGCTCTCTAGCCTGGACAGATCTTGTTGAATAGCAGCAGAGGTACCATTCCACAGATACTATCTACCAAGATGCTGGTGTTCATCTTGCTGATGTCCTGCTACTTTATAGCATTAATAGTCTTCCAGAACAGAAAGTATCTGAGTTTCTAGTGCTTTCTATTGAAGGATGGAAACACATGCAGTTCTCCATTTTTAAGTAGTGTAAAAAAAATATATTCCATTTTCATCAGCTAAAATATTTTCCCTGCCCAAGAACTTGATAACTGAATAGGGGAGCTGTGTTATCAGCACAGTCCCTGAAGGTATTTCTGGACTACTTTCAGTAGAATACTCTTCCAAGGCACTTATGGGAGTGGGGCTTGTCAAGTGTCTTATGTAAATTGCTTTGATGTTCCTGTCTTTCTATCTCCAACCCTAATAGATGACTGCTCTGCCTTAGGCTATTTCGGAATATTAATCTATAAAGTCATGGATATGTCTCTTCATAGATTTAACACTGCAACTGTACAGTTTGTTGTGTTTGTCGATTCTGAAGAACATCAAGTTGGATGATTGATAACAGAATATTAGGAAAGGAGTAAGTATAAACAAATACTAGCTGCTGTTACCTATGTGGGTTTCTCATTTAAGAACTGACATTTCACAAGTGTGACTCTGCAGTGGTTTTGCTTTTTTCTAGTTGTAGCTGGATGCTTCATTTCCAGTCTCATCCTGTTGAACTATGCATTGAACATGGGAAGGTCTTCAAGACTGCAACCTGTCTTATGTATGACCAAACTAAAGGAGATGTCTCAAAATTGAGGGATGTGCAAGAGGGGGCCTTTTTGTTTTACAGACAGGGAAATTGAAAGCAGAGAAGGACAGTGGTATGTCCCAGTTCATGCAAGTCTTGTCTCTTTTACTGTGCTCTTCATTGAGCTGGGTGTGTGTTGACAGACGTTTCCAGACAAAAGAACTGGAATGAGAACAGAGCCAAGTTGTATGTAATGAGTGAATGACAAATTTGCCTGGACTTCGTTTGAGCTAGAATTTTGC